GTGAAATTCAATTTTTTTTTTACTACCGGTTCGGTGGGCGTGGCTTGGTGGGTGTGGTGTGGCTTGGTGGGCATGGTTTGGTGGGCATGGCAGGGGAAGGATACTGCAAAATCTCCATTCCTACCCCACTCTGGGGCCAGCCAGAAGTGGTATTTGCTGGTTCTCCGAACTACTCAAAATTTCCGCTACTGGTTCTCCAGGACCTGTAGGAACCTGCTGGACTTCACCCCTGCTAGTAACCTTAATGTTCATATATGTTGTTTACAAAAATCTATTCTATTCTTAACAAGAAAAAATGCTAACATTTACTGAGGGTATAAGAAAAAAGAAACAATTAGGAAGAATGTTCTTTTTCTTTTTTACTTTTCCACCTCTTAGTGGCAATATATTGCCTGCATGAAACTATAAAGACTGAAAAATTACATCTCTTTTGAACTTCTATTTCACAACTTGCCTGTTAAGTCGTTAGTCCTGTTGTTTAGGCAGTAGCAGTATCATGTAGAGAACTTAGTAGGATCTATGTTCCTTAAGCTGGATACTGTGAAGAATAAAATATAAAATCTTATCCACCTGTCAGAACATGCTGGATTTCACCCGCTTCCTATAACTTAGATGCATTATTTCTTTTTTTCTGTTCTTCAGTGAGGGACACCAGGTTTTGACCTTCTCTAGGAGATTTTTGTAGCCACCATGTACAAACCTGTCCATCTCTGCTCATCGGATTTCAATTTTTGTCCTGGATTAGTCTCCTGGACCTTGTCTGCCCTTCTTCATTTCCTCTAAATCTTTCATAACGTGTGACAAGAATTGGGTAAGTCCTTCAAGTGAGAAGTTGGGTCAAAGAAGAGCACAACTGTCAACAGCTAGGATTGGAACATATACTTCAGTCAGTTGATGGAGAGGCATTAACAGGGGGTGGGACTTGCCTTGTTTCCTGGCCAGTGATCAAGAAAGAAATCCCACAATATGTAGGCAACAATTAATAAAATGGGAAATACTTGACTGCTACTCTGGTGAAGGACCGGGGAGACATGATAGCACTGTTCCAATATTTGAGGGGCTGCCACAGAGAGGAAGGGGTCAAGCTATTTTCCAAGGCACCTGTAGGCCAGACAAGGAAGAATGGATGGAAACTGAACAAGGAGAGATTCAACCTGGAAATAAGGAGAAATTTTCTGACAATGAGAGCAATCAGCCAATGGAGCAGAAGTTGCCTTCGGAAGTTGTGGGAGCTTCATGACTGGAAGCTTTCAAGAAGAGACTGAACTGCCATTTGTCAGAGATGGTGTAGGTCTTCTGCTTGGGAGTGAGGTTGGACTAGATGACCTACAAGGTCCCTTCCAACTCTGTTAATCTGTAAACCTGAATTCGAAGTGCATGGCTTATATGCACAAACAGGCCTCATCCAGGAAGGGAAAGTGAAGCCCAGAGAAATTCTACCTCTTCTTTTATGAATGCAACATTTTAGAAAACTACTTAAAGTGGAACCCTGCAAACATCTGGCCTGCTCTTTGATTATGGAAACATCCTGGATTAGAGGAAAATTAGGGGGGGGGAGACTAAAGATTTTTAAGAAGAGATTGGAGGACTAGTTGTCTGAAATGGAGTAGGGTTTCCTGCTTGAGCAGGGGGTTGGACTAGAAGACTTCCAAGGTCCCTTCCAACTCTGTTATTCTGTTAAAATGCTCCCTGCGATGTTCAAATGGGGACTCTTTGTGGCAGTGTTTCTCAACCTTGGCAACTTTAAAATGTGTGAACTTCAACTTCAACTTCAACGATTCAAGGTGTTGGTGACCACCTTTAGAGCGCTCCATGGCTTAGGACCTGGGTACCTACGAGACCGCCTTCTGCCACCGAGAGCCTCCCACCGGCCAGTATGCTCCCAGAGAGGGGCTCCTCAGGGTGCCGTCGGTCAAACAATGTCGACTGGCAGCCCCCAGGGGGAGAGCCTTCTCTGTGGGGGCACCTGCCGTCTGGAATGAGCTCCCCCCGGAGATACGGAGGATTCTGGATTTGCGTACTTTCCGCCAGGCCCTCAAGACTTTTTTATTTCAACAAGCCGGGCTGGCCTAACTTCTCCAATTGCTTAATTTTAATTTTAATTTTAAAAGGGGTATTTTAATTGTTTGGGCCAAAATTGTTTAATATGTTTTTTAAACTGTTCTTAAATTTTTGTAGTCTGTGTGTTTACCTTTGGCTGTTCACTGCCTTGAGTCCTTCGGGAGAAGGGCGGAATATAAATTTAAATAAATAAATAAACTCCCAGAATTTCCCAGTCATGATCATGTCTAGTTAATTGTACATTGAAAATCTCTAAGATAGTGTGTCTCCATCTTCTCAAACACACGTCCACTTCAAGATGTATGAACTTCAACTCCCAGAATTCCCCAGCCGTTATTATATCTAGTAAATTCAGAGGTGGTATTCAGACGGTTCGCACCGGTTTTCACGAACCGTTGGCAGAAATTTGGTCAAGGTCGCCGAACCGGTAGCGATGGCTGGCTGGCCACGCCCCTGAACCAGTCCCCTGGTCACCGCTCGCTCACCCCGCCCGCCATGTTCATCGCCGCCATGTTCTTTGCACACACACATCACATTGCCTTGCAAGTCCAATGGGATGTATATGAGTGAAGAACATGGCAGCGATGGCAGCATTTTCCGCGACCTCTGGTACTTTTCAGCAGCCTGCAGCCAGCCGCCACTGCTACAAAGCGGCTCTCAAAGAGGCAGCGGCTGGGAGGCTTCTTTGCCAGCCGCTTTCCAGCAGTGGCGGCTGGCTGGGGGCTGCCGAAAACTCGGTCAGCTTGCCTTCCAGACTCTGGACCAGCTGCTGTGGAAGGTAAGCAGCCCAAACAAAAAGGTGATGGTGGGGGAGGAAGCAGGGCTAGGGCCAGGGCCGCTAAAGGAGGGGAAACAGGGGCGACTGGCAAAGGAAGGGCGGGGGTAGATAGGTGGAAATTCCAAAAATGTTCCTGTGGGTGTGGCTAGGTGGGCGGGTCATGTGACTGAGTGGGCATGGGCGTGAGTGACATCAAGTTGGCCACGCCCACTCAGTCACATGCCTCCCCCCCACCTAGCCATACCCACCGAACCGGTAGCGAAAATTTTTGAAACCCACCGCTGAGTAAATTGTATATCCCACGATGGTCATGAAAGTTAGAACTTAAAAAAGCAAGACTTTTTTATTCCATCAGGCTGGCCTGGCCTAATTTTTCCCTTTTTTCCCTTTTTAAAACGCAAATTTTAATTCGTTTTTAATTTTTTATTGGGGTGTTTGAAATCTTGTCTTTGGCCAAATTGTTTAATTCGGTTTTATTCTGTTTTTAAATTTTGTATTTATGTGTTTTTACCTTGTGGCTGTTCACCGCCCTGAGTCCTTCGGGAGTAGGGCGGTATATAAATCAAATAAACTAAACTAAACTAAGACCAGAAAAAAAATTGACTCATTTCAGCTGTGGTGCTGGAGAAGGCTCCTTCGTATTCCTTGGACAGCAAAGGTGAATAACAAGTGGAGCACATAAAAACCAGACATGTCACTAGAAGGGAAAAAAATCATAAAATAACGTTTCACTTATTTTGGCCATGTCATGCAGAAGAATTCGTTAGAGAAAGCCATTATGTTTAGAAGAATTAGCGGCCATCCAAAAACAAGGTGGCTGGACACCATCAAACAGACACCATCCAGAGCAGAGGTCTCCAACCTTGGCCACTTTTAAGACTTGTGGACTTCAACTCCCAGAGTTCCTCAGTCAGCTGGCTGAGGAATTCTGGAAGTTGAAGTCCACAAGTCTTAAAGTGGCCAAGGTTAGAGACCCCTGATCCAGAGCATAGAAAAACTCAAAAAAAGGTAGTGCAAGATTGGAAGATGTGGCCCATAGAATCACCAAACGTCAGACACAACTGAATGGTTGACACCATCATCATCACCATCACCATCACCATCAAATTGTATACTGAAAGCCTCTAGGGCAGTATATCTCAACCTTGGCAACTTAAAGAGTGTGGACTTCAACTCCCAGAATTCCCCAGCCATGATTAAGTCTAGTCAATTGTACATGGAAAGCCTCAAAAGCAGTGTTGTTTCTCGGTTCTGGCGACTTCCAGACGTGTGTCACAAAGGTGCTTTTCTTTCCAAAGGCAACTGGAGTTTCTTGTTTTGTTTGAAGATGTTTCACCTCTCATCCAAGAAGCTTCTTTACTTCTGATTGCATGGTGGAGAATGGAAGGATTTATATGACAATCACGACTTGGAGGAATGAGAATCTGCATAGACATTCAAGACGTGTGGATTTCGACTCTCAGAATTCCCCCAAAGTCCACACATTTTGAAGTTGTGGAGGCTGAGGAACACTGCTTTATGGAATAAAAGAAGGGGCACGTAAGCAGCTGAGAAATAACCAAATGTCTTAGTGATTTATCTCTCATCATAATCCAGAAAGAGATTAATGTTGTAAGATATGACTACCATCATAAAGGGACAAGCATGACTTGGCCCTTACTATTGGCGACAGAAGTGCTGTGTGAAGGCCAACAAACATTGGTTAAAATGTCTATGACGATTCTCAGTCATCCAGGTCATGGTTGTCCCAAAGGTGTTTTTTTCAGAAGCAACTGGACTTTCTGGTTTTTCTTTGAAGACGTTTCGCTTCTCATCCAAGAAGCTTCTTCAGCTCTGACCCCACCATCCAGCCAGAGCTGAAGAAGCTTCTTGGATGAGAAGCGAAACGTCTTCAAAAGAAAACCAGAAAGTCCAGTTGCCTTTTGAAAAAGCACCTTTGGGACGAACGGTTCAAATGTTGACTTCAAAACTTGCCCAACTCAAGGAAGCTTAAAGAGAGCAGAAATGATCCTTCGCTCATCTGACTCGTGGACTTTGACCTGTGGACATCATGGAGACGATGAGTGAAGACAGTATTCAGAGCAGATTAAGCGTGCCAGAGCTCCATGGAAATCAACAACATGCAAAGTTGTGCAGAAAAAAACACTTCAATCCTCTGGGGTACTGGAATGTGTTATATTCTCGGGTTTCTTACATAGGTGCAGGAGCAGAGAGGTCAAAGGAACGGAATTAAATCGGCCTACTATGGCGACATGGGAGAGAACAAAATGGACGGCCAAGAGGGAAACAGCTAAAATTGCAAAGAGGAATGATGCAAATGCATGCACACCTCGCCAAGGGCATCATTCTAGAAATGAGGGTTGTTTTTGCTCACCACGATGCAGCCTATAACTCTCCACATTTGCTGCGGTGTTTTTTTTTTTAACTCTGACATCGATCTGACCCTTTGACTTACCAAGCGAATAGTGCTATTATTATTATTTTTTTCTTCATGGTTTTAATCATGGAGGAAATTCCCTGTACCCTTTAGAGCATAAAGTCATGCAAACAAATATATAAAAATAAAATAAACTAACCGCCCCACCCTGCGCAAAACTCAGCCGCTTAACGTTTTGGCAGCAATGAGGAGAACTGCATCGCCCAACTGTGTGAAATGGTGGAGAAAGACGTCCACGAACACCTGCATGCAGAACAGCCATTGGTGGTGAAGGGACGGGTGTGGTGGCTTGCTTTTTTTTGCTTTTGAGGGAGGAAGCTTTGGGCAGGTATCGTTAAGATATACAAAGTTTAAGTTTACAGGACAAGAAAAAGCCAGCCCGGATCTCCACCCTCCCACATCCCACCCCACCCCACCCCCTGTAGAGAAGATTAAATTGGCTTGCTTGAAGGAGTCCATATTGAGTCAGAAATACCGTCCCCTGTGGAGGACAGAGGCATAGACCCACTGGGAGTGAAAGGGTCGGTGTCCGTGTCCGTTTCCCCCTCGGCCAAATAGCGTTTTTCCTTCATCCAACTGGAGCCGCCATTTGGGCCGAACAGGAAATCATCTCTGTCTTGAGAGATGCTGAACCCGCTCGGGGAGCGTTCGAGTTCCTCGTGATTGACCGAGAGCAGGGATAACGGGGTGTCGCTGTCTCTTTGCCTTTGTCTTGAGGAGAATCTGTCCGAATGGGGGCTCCAGAGCTCTCTCGGCGGGGACTGGAAGGAAACCTGAGAGTCCATGAAAGTCACTATTGGCAGGACTGTGGGCCTTTCTGAGTAGGCAGTGGAGAAGGGCATGGCTTGCCATCGGCCTGAGTTCTGGTCACTGAAGGGCAGTGAAAGTGGGTTGTGACCACAGTCCTGGCTTGAGTACCCAAAAGGAGGGACTTTGTTCACGGGAACGTGGTGGAAGCTTGGAGACAGCTCGTGAATGGAAGGCTTGGAGTACTTGTAAATGATGGATTTCAGTTCAGAAAAGCGGTTGTCCTCAGCTGGGGACGTGGCTTCTTTCAAAGGACACGTGTCGGTGACCTGGACCTGCAGCTGGCCCAGATGTTGCTTGTGCATGTCTACTAAAAAATCCAGCTTCTTCCCCATGTCGTGGACCTAAAAGACAGCAGCTGTCAGAACTCAGCTGGCATAAATGATTGGTTATTATCTCGATTAAGAGCAAACTATTCCCCAACTGAAAATTGACCTCTCGGTTCGAGATCATCCCAAAGATCAAAGGTCATCACAAACAAAATGAAGCAGCACAACACTTTAGAACGGTTTCGAAGGAGATTTTGGAAAAAGGGGCAGAAGAGGTTGAGACTTTGGAAAAAGGGCAGAGCAACTGGGATGATTAAAGGCCTGGAGACTAAAACATAGGAAGAACAGTTCCAGGAACTGGATATGGTTAGTCTAGAGCCGTGATGGTGAACCTATGGAAAGCGTGCAACAGATGGCACGGGTAGCCATATCAGTGGGCACGCGAGCTCAGCTCCGGCACACATGCACATGCCAGCCAGCTGATTTTCGGGTCTTCTGGGCCCACCAGAAGTAGGGAAACAGGCTGTTTCCTGCCTCTGGAGGGCCTGGGAAAGGCCTGTTTTTCTTTCTCATCTGGTTCCAGGGCCTCTCTAGGAGTCTGGGGAGGGCGAACAGTCCCACCAGAAGTTGTCAAATGGCCCGTTTTTGGCCTCCAGGGGGGGGGGTGTGAAAGCCATTTTCGCCCTCCCCAGACTCCTAGAGAGGCCCTGGAACCAGGTGAGAAAGAAAAACGGGCCTACCGAGCCATCACATGCTGGGAGGGGGGATCACGTGTGCATGCATGGGGGCAGGCTGCATAAAATTCTGGATGTGGGCATGGGCGACCCGCCCCCCCGCGCCCCCTCCTGGTACGCAATAGCAAAAAGGTTAGCCATCACTTGTCTAGAGCAGGGATCAGCAACCTGCGGCTCTGGAGCCGCATATGGCTCTTTCACCCCTCTGCTGCAACTCCCTGTCACTCAAAATATGTGTCACAACTGCCAGTGTGTGACACCCTAAGGCATGCAATTTATTGAGCTTTTCAACCCCCGGTAGGCCAACCATGGATAAATCCAAGAAAAGAAAAGTTTCAGAAGAAAAACAGAACGTTTAATTCAACTACATATGCTAGTTTTGTGGCCGCTCAAGAAATAGTCAGGCACGGGAAGGGTTTTGTGGCTCCCGGTGTTTTCTTTTCTGTGGGAAATGGGTCCAAATGGCTCTTTGAGTGTTGAAGGTTGCAGACCCCTGGTCTAGAGAAAAGAAGGACTAGGGGTGACATGATAGCAGTATTCCAATATTTGAGGGGCTGCCACAAAGAGGAGGGGGCCAACTTCTTTTCCAAAGCACCTGAAGGCAGGACAAGAAATAATGAATGGGAACTATTCAAGGAGAGAAGCAAACTGGAACTGAGGAGAAACTTCCTAACTGTGAGAACAATTAACCAGTGGAACAGTTTGCCTTCAGAAGTTGTTGGGTGCTTCATCACTGGAGGTTTTTAAGAAAAGATGATTTGTCTGAAGTGGTATAGAGTTTCTTGCCTAAGCAGGGGGTTGGACTAGAAGACCTCTAAGGTCCCTTCCAACACTGTTGTTCTATTCTTCTATTCTAAATCGTATAGGATCTCCTCTTGAGCAGGAGGTTGGACTAGAAGACCTCCCAGGTCCCTTTAGCTATATTCTGAATTTGAATTTGAGAAAAACACGGACACAAACTGCTGAGCATTTCATTACCTGTCTTTCAACTCTGACAAATTTGCCCATCATGCTTTGATCTTCAGGATCATCTGCAGATGCTTTACTTATGAATGGCTCATTCCTAAAAGGAAATAAGGTTCCATTTTACACAGAGGTGGAAAAAAAAACCACATTCAAATTCTTCCTACAAATATTTCTAGTTCACAATGCATTTATACAGCAGTGCATTTCAAAGGAGGAATTTCGGAAATGATGGTCAACCTTGTTACTTAAGATATAACAATTGCTACTGTGTCGTGTTGAAGTCTTATTATTCTGGAGAATTACTGTGCATTCTTTTCGTCTGCAAAAGCCAAAGAAAAGTGAATACACTTTTGCACTCCATAAAAGGTAAAGGTAAAGGTTCCCCTCACATATATGTGCTAGTTGTTCCCGACTCTAGGGGGCAGTGCTCATCTCCGTTTCAAAGCCGAAGAGCCAGCACTGTCCGAAGACATCTCTGTGGTCATGTGGCCGGCATGACTAAATGCCAAAGGCGCCCAGAACACTATTACCTTCCCACCAAAGGTGGTCCCTATTTTTCTACTTGCATTTTTTTACCTGCTTTCGAACTGCTAGGTTGGCAGAAGCTGGGACAAGTAACAGGAGCTCACCCCCGTTACGCGGCACTAGGGATTCGAACCGCTGAAATGCCGACTTTTTGATTGACAAGCTCAGTGTTTTACCCACTGTGCCACCGCATCCGTTAATCCTATGTCCCTTTTTTAAATTTATTAATATTTATTAATTATTTATTAAATCCCTTGCACTCCACAGGATTAAAATAATTACAAACAAACCTCGATTTAAAAACAGTTCATTTAGTGACCATTCAAACTTATAACGGCAGTGAACAAGGTTACGTATGACTATTTTTCACACTTATGACCATTGCAGCATCCCCTTGATCACGTGATCAAATTTGGACACCTGGCAACTGACTCATACTTATGACCGTTGTACTCTCCCAAGGTCATATGATCCCTTTTTGTAACCTTCTGACAAGCAAGGTTCATATAACAACAGTCTCTGTTCATATAACAGAGACTTACAATGTGTTAAGCAATAGCCTTCATACTTTTGTATATACCTGCTCAGTAGGGCTTTCGCCCCCCCCCCCAAAGCGGTGTTCTTTTTTATACAAAGTCAGCTTATTGCCCCCACAATCCGGGTCCTCATTTTACCTACCTCGAAAGGATGGAAGGCTGAGTCAACCTTGAGCCTGGTGAGATTTGAACTTGTAGTAATTACAGGCAGCTGGTGTTACTTAACAGTGCTTTAGTCTGCTGAGCCACCAAGGCTCATTGTCTAATTGCTAATTAGACTAATTGTCAAGGCTAATTGCAGTGATTCACTTAACAAATGTGGCAAGAAAGGTCATAAAAGGGGGCAAAACTCACTTAACAAATTTCTCACTTAGCAACATAAATTTTGGGCTCCATTGTGATCGTTAGGTGGAGGGCTATCTGTATATATGGGAATATATCAGATCTTGGGCTCATGTGGTTCTCCAAGAAAAATTAGCCTTCCTTGGGGAAAAAATGAAGCTTTGGGGCACGTGAATTCTAATTTTAATGCAGAAACCATTTATCCCAAACTATCAAACTGTCAACAGTATGTGACATGGTGGCTCAGTGGCTAAGATGCTGAGCTTGACAATCGAAAGGTCAGCAGTTCAGCGGTTCAAATCCCTAGTGCCACGTAACGGGGTGAGCTCCCGTTCCTTGTCCCAGCTTCTGCCAACCTAGCAGTTCAAAAGCAGGTAAAAAATGTAAGTAGAAAAATAGGGACCACCTTTGGTGGGAAGGTAACAGCATTCCGTGCACCTTTGGCATTGAGTCATGCCAGCCACATGACCACGGACACGTCTTTGGACAGCGCTGGTTCTTCGGCTTTGAAACGGAGATGAGCACCGCCCCCTAGAGTCAGGAACGACTAGCACATATGTGCAAGGGGAACCTTTACCTTTACTTTTTATCAACAGTTGGAGAATGGGGCCTAACTTCTGCATACCTGTCTGATTCTTATATTTAGTGTTATTTTCTTGGGAACCTGTAAGTTGGTTAGTTGTTCTACAAGCATGAAACGTCAGTGTTACGTATTACAGGTAGTACTCAACTTACAACCAAATTGAGCCCAGCATTTCTGTTGCTAAATGAAACATTTAAGTGAATTTTACCCCGTTTTATGACCTTTCTTGTCACGGTTGTTAAATGAATCATTGTGGTTGTTAAATTATTAAGACGGTTATTACGTGAATCTGGGTTCCCCATTGACTTTGTTTGTCAGAAGGTCACAAATGTGACCCCGGGACACTGCAACTGTCATAAATATGAGCCAATGGCCAAGAGTTCTGAATGTTGATCATGTGGCCATGGGGATGCTGCAATGGTCATTAAGTGTGAAAAATGGTCCTAAGTCACAATTTTCAGCGCTGTTGTAACTTTGAAGAGTCAGCAAACAAACTGTTGTAAGTCGAGGACTAAGTGTACAGAATGGCCTTGCAGCAAGATGGGCAGCAAACAGATTTAATGAATAAATAAATATAAATAAAAATAAAATATCCCAAATGCTGCTTTTAATATCTGATAGCAAACCAGTCTTGGTAGATCAGCCTGCAGCAGAGCCTCGAATGAAGAATTGATGGAGTGTTTTTGATTTTTTTTTTTTAGATATAAGAATGTACATTTTTCAGTTTTTAACTGCTTTAAACATTATATCTATGGTCCATACTATGTTGGCGCTTATTGAAAACGGGGGGGGAGGGGGGAATGATGACACCAGGGAGAAAATGATGGAAATGTGGCTTTTACTGAGGGGCACCCCCAAGGGTGGCCTTCAAAAATTTAGCAAGGGGTTCTCTGCCCGGTTGCTGAGTAGGCATGGCCATGGTGGGCGTGGCTTAGTCAGCCTCCTGCACCATGGCTGGGGAGTGTTTTTGCCCTCCCCAGGCTCTGGAGGCTTTCCTTGAGCCTCCAGGAGGGCGAAAACAGCCTCCCCAGGCTCTGGAGGCCCTCTGGAGTATTTCCGGCCTTCCTGAACTTCTGGTAGGCCCGTTTTTCGCCCTCCCTGAGACTCCATGCCTGTCCTGCACTTACCTGCATCCAAAACAGGCCGCATGGGGACTCCTAGGAGGGGAGGGGAGGGGGTCGGCAGGGCGAGTGAGATTTAGGGGTTCTCCAAACGGCACAGAATCTTAGCTAGAGGTTCTCCCGAATCACTGCAAACCCCCCATCCCCACCCCTGGGCATCCCCCCAAAAATGTCACCTTGGAGACTGCTGCGAAGGGTAGGAGAATGTGCCTCCTTTCTGAGATTTCCTGTGTCTGGGAGTAGATGGAGGCCCAGGTGCAAAAACCATATCTATTCTGAAAAGAGATAAAAACAGAACATAAGGACTCCTAGATGTAGTCGTGTTATATAGTGTCATCACTCAGGGGTCTTGGCGACTTTAAGGCTTGTGGACTTCAACTCCCTAGAATTCCCCAGCCGGCATTAGGACTACCTGTTATGGGCTGGTGGGTTAAAATATAACAGAATAACAAACGGAAGGGACCTTGGAGGTCTTCTAGTCCAACCCCCTGCACAAGCAGGAGGCCTTATACCAATCCAGACAAGTGGCTGTCCAGGTATGTCTAAGAGCTCAAGTCTTAGAGCATATGGAGGCACCAGTTTAAAGAAAGATGATTTACAAGAAGGAAATTGCCATTAGCAAAAATCTTCCTTCCTTCCTTCCTTCCTTCCTTCCTTCCTTCCTTCCTTCCTTCCTTCCTTCCTTCCTTCCTTCCTTCCCCTGTCTCCCTTCTCTTACCTCTCTCTCCCATCCATCTCCTTTCCTTCTTCTTCCTTCCTTCCTTCTATCCATCTATCCATCCATCCATCTATCTATAATCTATCCATCCACCCACCCACCCACCCACCCACCTATCTATCTACCTACCTACCTACCTATCATCTATCTCCATCCATCCATCTATCATCTATCTATCATCTGTCTGTCTGTCTGTCTGTCTGTCTGTCTGTCTCCATCCATCCATCCACCACCCACCCACCCACCCACCCATCCATCCATCCACCTACCTACCTACCTACCTACCTACCTACCTATCTATAATCTATCTCCATCCATCCATCTACCTACCTACCTACCTACTGTGCCTTGACTTCACTGGGTGGCCTTGGCAAGTGAATAGATAGATAATAGCGCAACACATAGTCATCTATTATGTGTCTGAATCACTGGATATTATAAGGTTCCCATCTCCATGGAACTCTTAACTTGATTCCTGCATTAACCCATGTCTGGGTCTGCATAACACACTGAATGGTAAACTAAGCAACCTACTTAGGTGTACATGAAATACTAAACCACACACACAAATACACAAAACCCATATGATTGAATAGGTCATGCGAAGACAAAGTATAACCTAGCCTGAGATAAAAAATTCAGACTCTTGATGGAGTCTGTTGCACAGCCATCATTTTCTTACAAAAGTAAGAAAAGTACTTTGAGCCATGGTGCTTGCAGTGACAATGTCTCACCTGATCTAGGCCAAACTCTCAGTCTTTTCCTCCCAGTATAATCTCCACAATTAGTCTACGAATGGGGCCACGCCCTCTTACCTTGCTTGAAGGTATTTGATTCTGGAAAGCATGTCGAGATGTCCAGCTGAATATTGCTCTATCACATCCTTTACATCGTAAGGCCTCAAAGTCTCCTTGAATCTCTTCTTATAGAGGCGGAACTGTAGAATCCTGGTCCCAGAAGAAACAGCAGAAAAAGGGGTTCCGTGTGAGCTACTCAGATACAAACAGTCCCTGATAGTCCATCTTGACCTCAGCTGAGCCCAGGCCGGAGACGACTTGAAGCTCATGGAAAATCTATGCATGCTAGAACTCCAGGAATGTTTAGATGTGAACTTGGAACCAATGGCTTTCATGCCTAAGGCAGGACCTAGAACTCACAGTCTCCTGCTGATTGGCTCAAAGTCACAGCGAAGAAGTTGTAAAAAAATGCTTTAAAAAATGCTTTCAAAAGACACAGAAAGATCAGAAATATTTATCCTGTCAAATTGGTCTAAAAACATCTGATTTGATGCATGGAATGGATCTGATTCAAAGAGGTGGATTTGATTAAGTCCTCTTCAAGTCAAACCTTCAATACAAGCTTAATGTAGCCTTTTTAAGTAGTTTGTTACAAGCCACCGAGAATAAATGGGATTTAATTTAATGGAAAGACATCAAATCTAGCCCAAGTCTTGATTAGTTCCATTTATAACGGATTACGGTTAAAAAAAATTTCCCTTTACACTTTCCAAATTAGCTACTCTTAGCAGGAAGCAGGTAAATAGGACATCAGCAGATCGAGTCACTTTAGCCATTTAAAGTAAAATCTAATTATTTAAAGCAATTAAATTAGCAGTTAATATCACAAAAGCGGTGAATGGCATTTTGAACTTAAATTGGTTGGAGCTTGAAATGCCCTGCCCCCACCCCACAAACAGATATGTTTCTATTTAAAACATACTTCTAACCTTGCTGGAAGCATTTAGATCACGGGTGTCAAACTCACCATGTCACATTGCTGTCACGTGACGTATCGTGACATTTATTCCCTTCGCGGAGCTGGGATGGGCATGGCCTATGTGTGACGCATACTGCCCATTGCCTGACAGTATGACAACCCTGATTTAGATTATATTCCAAGCCATTTGAGGCAATTGTGTTATGGTGCAAGCAGGGTTTGGAGGCTAACATAGATTACTTTAAGATATTATTATTATTATTATTATTATTATTATTATTATTATTATTTAATCTTTGGTGAGATTCACAGCCTTTGAGGCTGGTTAATAGCTCAGCAGCTCGAGTCCTAACCAAGGACCTAGGAACTGTTGTTGTTGTTGTTGTTGTTGTTGTTGTTGTTGTTGTTATTATTATTATTATTTACTTTATTCATCAAACATGAAACTCAGTCAACTGAACATTCAAAAATGCATCTCAAATACCATTGTTTTTTTTAATGTTCAGTTGTTGTTGTTGTTGTTGTTGTTGTTGTTGTTATTATTATTATTATTATTATTATTATTATTATTATTATTATTATTTACCTTTACCTGCATCACAAATACCATTGACTGGTGCTAATGGTTGATACAGGTTGCTGCCAGCGTCCTGGGTATCAACCAAGTACCTTCTTAAGATGTACGATGTTCTGAACAGAGCAGTTTTTTGCTGTTCCGCTGGTGTTATTGCAGGAAGCTGCAATTTGTTGATGTATCTTATAAAATTCTTGGACATGGTACCAAGTGCCCCGATGACAATGGATATCACTGTTACATGTTTCATCCATCATCGCATATGTTTAATCCATAGCCATGTAGTTTTGATGGCCAGGTCGTGATATTTCATGATTTTTTTCAGTTCTTTTTCTTCGACTCTGGCATCTCCTGGTACTGCAATGTCAATAAATTGTACATTTTGGTTTTTGACAACTGTGATACCTGGCGTGTTGTGTTCCAAATGATGATCTGTCTGAATTCGAAAGTCCCACAAGATCTTCACCTTCTCATTTTCTATAACTTTTTCCACTTTATGTTCCCATGACTTTTTGGATACAGGTAAGTCGTATTTTTTACATAATGACCAGTGGATTAATTTAGCAACTGGTTGTGTCTAGCTTTGTAATCAGTTTGTGCGATTTTGCTGCATTCACATATTAAATGTGAAACAGTTTCGACTTTGTTGTTGCAAAGTCGGCAGTTTGGATTGTCGGTGGATTTTTGCATCTTTGCTTTCATGGCATTAGTTTGTAGTGCTTGTTCTTGAGCAGCCAGTATTAAACCTTCCATTTATTTCTTGATGTTCCCATTTTAAGCCATGCCCATGTAAAGTTGTCATCACATTTTCCTTCAATGTTTTTCAACTGCTGTCCATGCAAAGCTTCGGTTTTCCATCTATTTCATCTGTCATCCAGCTGTTTTTCCTTATATTCTGCCTTTGTTTCTGTTGTTTTTATAATGTTCTCCGTTTTCACAGCCTGCAGCAATTTTTCTGTACTTTGGTTCAGTACTGAGCGAACCAGTTCACTCTGATTTCGAAGTGGGCCCGCCCATCTGCCCTTGCGTTGTACTCACCTATATTTTCATTTCTGAAGCCCAGCTGATGAGCGCGGCAAAGTGGATTGCTGCACCTCAGCTGTTTTCCTTGCTGGCAGCAATGCGGAAGGTGAGTTTTCTCCAAATTGCGCATGGGTGCGCAGCGAACCAGTTGTTAAACTGGTAGGATCCCATCCCTGGAGCCAGCATTGTCCAAAAATGCTTCTGCAATCATATGGCCAGCATAATTATACACCGAGGTGCATGGAACACTGTTATCTTCTCATTAAAGTGGTACCTATTTATCTACTCGCATTTGCATGTTTTCGAACTGCTAGGTGGGCAGGAGCTGCAGCAAGGGATGGGATGGGAACTCATCCTGTCGCACAGTAGTTGGGTCTCAAATCACCAATCTTCCAGTTGACAAGCCAACATTCTAACCAGTAGGCCAACGCACCCTCACTTGCTCATTACTTACTCCATAACACTCCCTCTTGGTGTTTGACCCTCAATAAAGAAGGAATCAAATGTTGCTGGACTTACAGTCATGTAAATGTAGCTCAGCGGCTAAGACACTGAGCTTGTCGATTGAAAGGTTGGCAGTTCAGCAGTTCAAATCCCTAGTGCCATGTAACTGAGTGAGCTCCTGTTCCTTGTCCCAGCTTCTGCCAACCTAGCAGTTCAAAAGCGCGTAAAAAATGCAAGTAGGAAAATAGGGACCACCTTTGGTGGGAAGGTAACAGCGTTCCTTGCGCCTTTGGCATTTAGTCATGCCGGCCACATGACCACGGAGACGTCTTCGGACAGCGCTAGCTCTTTGGCTTTGAAACGGAGATGAGCACCACTCCCTAGAGTCAGGAACGACTAGCACATATGTGCGAGGGGAACCTTTACCTTTACTCTATATCCACTTTTGCACTCTCACCCCAACTGTGGGGAAGATGAGAACTGAAGACCAAGCAACACATCTGGAAAGCTGCAAATTGGCAAAGCTGCCTGGATTGCAATTGCTTGAAAGATACGTGATTTACATTGCTGAACTAATTTTTTTTTTTTTTTCAAAATTGTAAACTGATTTTTAAACATACACACATTCAATGCAGTATTGGTAAGCAGCTCAAAGTTTACCTAACAGCTCGGATGACCATCTTCAGTGTGGGGATCAGGTCTTCCATGAGGAGCTCATTGCTGTATCCCCTATCTTCTGCCAGGGGATCCCCTGTTCCAGCATCTAAATTAAGGACCAGATGAATACAGATAAGATAATCCAGATGCAGAAGAAGATTAGAACAATGTGAATAAGTTCGTACAATATTCAGATGTTTAATTAAGGCTGTAATCATTTAAAATCATGGATCCTGAACAGTCTCCAGTTCAAAGAACCAGTACAGTTAATCCTAGACTTACAACAGTTTGTTTAGTGACCGTTCAAAGTTACAATGGCACTGAAAAATGTGACTTATGACCATTTTTCACAGTTACAACCATTGTAGCACCCCGCGATCATGTGTTCAAAATTCAACTGATGGTTGGCAGCTGGTTCATATTTATGACGGTCGCAATGTCCCATGGGATTCCCCTTTTGCAACCTTCTGACAAGCGAAGTCAATGGGGAAGCCAGATTCCCTTAACAACCGGGTTACTAACTTATCAACTGCAATGATCCGTTTAACAACGGGGGCGAGAAAAGTCATAAAATGGTGCGAAATTCACTTAACAGCAGAAACATTGGGCTCGACTGTGGTTCTAAGTTGAGGATTATCTGTATATGTCTTAAGGCTAGATGTTGAAATGTATTATTTGCATCTTATCTGGAAGATGGTTTAAGATTTCCTAAAGTTGGAAACACAGTCATCTATCTAATTAAGGAGTGCAGAACAAATACCCCTCCAGATATTGCTGTACTACAAAGCCCAGCATCTATTACCTTGCATCATGCTCGTTGGAGTCAGTGACATGGGAGGGAGGGACAAGAGACTGTAAACTTCTTACATGATTTATTGCAGTGATGGCGAACCTATGGCACACCTGCCAGAGGTGGCAGGCAGCACCCTCTCTGTGGGCACGCGAGCCATCGCCCCAGCTCAGCTCTGCCGTGCATTTGTGTGCTCCTCCTGCCGGCCCGCTGGCCTTTGCATCTCTGCTGTGCAGGCACAGGGGGCGCGTGCATGCGGGGGGAGGCACATGCACAGGGGCTGCACGCGCATTGCATTTTGGGGAGGAGAGAGGGAGGGAGGGACAGACAAAAAGAGAGAGAGAGGAAGGAAGGAAGGAAGGAAGGAAGGAAGGAAGGAAGGAAGGAAGGAAGGAAGGAAGGAAGG